AGGACCTTTTCTCAGCTTCCCCACTCACCTTCCCAAGCATATTTGCTAGGAACATGGGAGAAGGCCTTCTTGGTGGCTGCTCCCAGGCTTTGGAAGATGCTTCCCTGGGAGACAAAGAAGGTCCCCTCCTTGATGTCCTTCCTTCCTTCCATCAACAGCTGAAAACCTTCCTGTTCCAACACTGACTGTAAGGACTTCTAATGCTGTGCAGTTTTGGGTTTTAAAAAAAATATTTTCCCTTTTAATGGATCTGTTTAGTATTTTAACAATATTTTAACAATAGTGATTTATATGCTTTTACTTATATCTTTCACTGCATTTGTTATTTGTTTGTTTGTTTGTTTATTATTTTTGTAAGCCAATCTGCATTGTATTACTAGTATATATATATTTTAAAAAAAGATATACAGGTTGAATCTCCCTTATCTGAAATGAGGGACTACAAAGGTAAATTGAAGTATCTGAGGGCAACGGTGTCTTCTGGGGGGTTTGTGGGTAGCACAGGGTTGTTTTTCCCCACATGCATTCATGCATTTAGTGGGTTTTCTCTGCAGATTTCCAGGCAAAAATTGCCTGGAAATCTGTCCCTGATTTTTTTAGAATTTTTTTGGGGGGATTGGTGAGTGGCAAAAGTGGGGTCCAAGGGTTGGTGCAGAGGGAGTTTCATCCCCACGGCTCAATTATCTAACATACTAACTTTTTACAATTTACTACTTGGCGTAGATTATACTTTTGTGTGCGTGTATTAAAAACAACGACACTCCAGCTAATTATGTATTTTCTAAGAAAGTAGGAGGGAGATTTCAGTCTTGCAGAGTTCATTCTTTAAAACCTGTCTCTGGAATGGACCACCTCCTAGAGCAAGGAACAAATGACAGACACTTAGTATTAATGAACGTTTAGCCTGGGAACTCCCTTTCCATGAAAATCTATTCCCCACGGTGTCTTAATTCCGACAGTGTAATTTCAAATTACCCACTTTATTGCTACTGGGAACCAGAATTCCTCATGAGTGTAATACAAGCCACTTGGAGACCTACCAGTAATTCAGATCTACCTTTCCCCACTCCTGATCTCAGAGCCGGTTTCACGTAGTAACCATAAAATGTTTCCCAATTCATGTCTCACCAATGCCATAAAGTCACTAGATGCCCTAACAGTGTAGCTTTTGTGGACTACATCTCTCAAAGGGGACATGTTGGCTGGGGATGCTGAGAGCTGCAGCCACCCAAAAGTAATTTTTCCAAGTTCTGGTCGATATCACCACCTCAGCCCACCATTCTGCAATATGGGGCTTACCTATTTATTAATGATTTTCCTTATAGGGTTATTTTAAGAACTATGGCAAGGGTCTCTGAACATTCACAATTTGTAAGTGTCATTTTTGGTATAGGAACCTGAGGATCCAGCATGACGTTGTGGTTTGAGCGTTGGACTATGACTCTGGAGACCAGCATTCAATTCCCTGCTCTGCCATGGAAGCCCACTGGGTGACCTTGGGCAAGTCACACACTCTCAGCCCCAGAAAATCTGGTGATAGGTTCACCTTATTGTTGCCTAAGTTGGAAATGACTTGGAGGCATATAACAAAAGCAAGAACAACAACCAGAGCCTGACCACCCAGTTTAAATAACTCCATTCCACCAATATCTGTTCACAACCGGCTCATCCATTTTTCTGGTCCCCTTCCTACAAACGACAGAACTTGCTTTTGCCTCAACTGAGATTCAGAACGTAGATCTTTTCCTCTTCTCCAAACACACACCCCTCAAAGCCAATAATTGCCTTTGGATCTGTTTCCCAGCTTCTTTTCCAGCCTATCCGTCCATAAAGAAAACAAACCCTGTGTGTAATTAATTCCAAGGCTATGTCCCAATCTCGGGTTTCTAATGACTTTTCCACACCATTCTTAGCTTGGCACAGTCTTGGCCTATGACGACACTTTTTGGCTTCGTGTCTGGTCCTGCAACAACCTCCCTCCTGGGCAAAGATGTCAATCAGGCAGGGCCCAGGAAACAGGAGAAGCCATGCTTGGGCTTTGCAGCTGAGGGCGGTGGGTGCCTAGTGGCACCGAACTGCTCCGGCACGCCTAGTTATCTGTCGGGTTGCATGATGGAAAGAGCTATGTGCCCATGTTCTCCGTACCGGCCTGCTGCATTAACACCCAACAAAACAGGAGGATTCGATTACGGTAAGCCCCGCACATGTCAGCTGAGGTGAGGAGGAGGAGCGCTCGGTTTAGAGTTGTAAAGGAGCGACCTCATTCCTTGGGTCACTTGATCCTGTCCACCTGTTACGTCCGGCTAATTTTATCGCTCTCAGCAGGATTCCATTCAGCCGGCAGGTTGTACCATAAAAAGGAAGAATGGGGGGAAGAGATCTAGCTGCTCCCCAAATCTGTCCTGCTTTGATTGCGTCTTCCTGCATGGCAGAATAGGCTTGGAATGGATGGCCCTTGTGGTCTCTCCCAACTCTGTGGCTCTATGATTCTACTGCAGCCACAACGTTGTGAGTTCGATCCTGAGGGCTCCAGGGTTGACTCAGCCTTCCATCCTTTCATAGGTCAGTAAAATGAGTACCCAGTTTGTTGGGGGCAATTAGCAGTTGTAAATCACTTAGGGACCGTATAGTTCAGTATGAAGTGGTAAAGGTAAAGGTAGTCCCTTGACATGAATGTCTAGTCATAACCAACTTTAGGGTGCGGTGCTCATCTCCAGGTAAAGAACCAGCGTTGTCCGAGGATTGCTCTATTGGTCATGCGGCCAGCATGACTGCACTAAACGCTGTTACCTTCCCACCAAAGTGGTATCTATTTATCTACTTGCATTTGCACGTGTTTGAACTGCTAGGTTGGCAGAAGCTGGGACTAGGGACAGGAGCTCACTCCATCATGCAGCACCTGAGCCTTGAACTGCCTTCTAATCTTCTGATCATCAGAACTGGCACCTTAACCACTAAGCAACGCCATCCCCTTGAAGTGGTAGAGAAATGTCAATGCTATTGCTGTTGTTATTCTATAAGAGAGTGCAAAAGAACCTGAGTGAGATGGAAGCAAGGAAAGAAAGAAAGAAATCAGACTGCTCAAACTGAATGTGAGGATGCTGGGGCAAAGGAACCTCAAAGAAACAATGAAGCTGGTGCTACAATTTGGGGATCGACCCTAAGAACCTTCCTAAGCCCTGCCAACGTTTTGGCGTCATTCCCTCTCAATGTCTATCTGCTTTGAGGATCTTCTCTGATACAGAGCATGCTTTCACACTGGGATTTGTTTCCATCTGGAGAGAAACAACAGAAAATGGTTCTCATCTGTGGAGCATGAAGGGTCTATATGGTTCGACTGGGTGCCTGGGACTGATTCTTCCCAGGCTGTTCATAATCCTGCTTCTATTGTGAATTGAGAGCATGACAAATAGGTGTTTATTTCATGGTCGCCTTTTGTATCCCATGTTATATTATTGGAAGGTTTTACTGGTCTTTCCCAAATTGATTTTAGATTACTTACACAACTGATAGAGAAGGATTTGACATAGGACTGCTTCTCAATGGCACAGCACATGTTTTGTCGCCAGATATTCCCATGTTCAATGCCTAGTAACTCAAGGCTGGGAAAGATTCCTGTCCAAGAGAGAGCTGGATCCTTGTGGCTTCCTTCCCAAATCCTGGGCCACATGGGCAACCTGTGACCTGTTTCATATCCTTTGTCCTGACCAATTTCTAGGACGAAGAACGCTAGGATGTATTTTCCCGTTGCAGCTACGAAAGAGCTAGACGAGACCATCAAGTGTAAAGGTATATCACTGAATGCCAAAATCATCATCAATACCATGGCACAATGGGCCCTTGGTATCCACAGGGGTTTGGTTCCAGGACACCCCATGGATACCAAAATCCATGGATGCTCAAGTCCTATTAAATACAATGGTGTAGTGAAATGGTGTTCCTTACATAAAACAGCAAAATCAGGTCTGTTTTGGGGGATTTATATCTTTTTGGAATGTTTTCAAGCCACGGATAGTTGAATCCAAAGAATCTGTGGGTATGGAGGGCCAACTGTTTTTCCAATCCTTCTGTCAAATCCCAAAGCTGGACAGTGAAGAAAACTGACTAGAAGATCAACTCATTTGAAATGTGGAGCTGAAAGAGAGTTCTACAAATAGCATGGACTGCCAAAAGGACAAATGAATGGGTCTTGGAGCAAATCAAGCCTGAACTCTCCCTAGAAAACCAAGGGCCTAAACTGAAACTATCCTACTTGGGAGACATCATGAGATGATAAAGCTCATTTGAGAAGATGACAACGCTTGCTAAAGTGGAAGGCAACAGGAAAACAGGAGAAGCTCACCGACACACAGATCTGCTCTGAGTCTGCTGGACCCAAGCAGGACTCTGGGAGATCTCATGTTCCTAGGGTTTTCAGAAATCCAAGCTCATTTGATGGTACATAATAACAAACACAAATAAGGTATATTGCAGCTACTGGAAACCCCCAGGCTTATTCTATAATCAATGCCTCTACTCTACATTCAAAGGTATAGTCATATTAGTCTGTAGAATCAGTATGCAGAAAGATCTTGTAGCACCTCTGAGACTAACTAAAGAAAGAAGTTGGTAGCATGAGCTTTTGTAGACTTAAGTCTACTTCCTCAGATGCATTTGGTGATCTACGAAAGCTCACGCTGCCAACTCCTTTCTTTAGTTACCGTAATCTCAAAGGTGCTACAAGATCTCTCTAGCCTACATTGTTAACATACAACAACAATAATGCACCCTGGCCTTGAAACAGACTCTGGTTGAAGGGTGAAGGCATTGTGTTGCCCCCTTGAGCCTTTCTCTCTCTCTCGCTCGCTCGCTTTGTGTGTTGTGTGCCTTTGAGTGATTTCTGACTTATGGTGAACCTATCATGGGGTTTTCTTGGCAAGATTTGTTGAGAAGAGGTTTGCCATTGCCTTCCCCTGAGGCTGAGAGCCTGCGTCTTACCCAAGGTCACCCAGTGGGTTTCATGGCCGAGCGGGACTTGAACCCTGGTCTCCAGAGTTATAGTCCAACACTCAAACCACTAAGCCATGTTAACATACAAATGCAAGGAAATGCTGACCACACCTTGGCTGCACTGTGATGCCCACCACTGTCGATGGTTGCGAGTGGCATTTCTTTCTCCTTCCAGCCCTGCAAGAAGTTTTTATTTGGGCGGCAACGCCTTCATTTTGTCATCCCTCCTGCTACACTCCTGCTTTTACTGAAACTCTGAAAGACCACCTCTTGTATTTAAGCCTGCCCAAAGCCTAAAATCTTCAGCTAAGGCACTGTTGCATGTCCAAACAATTTGCTGTGTTCTGATTCCTCTGATCACTTTGCCTGCCCCTTTTCCTTGGCTGCCTAAAGTAAATTTGCAAATGCTCAAGTGAGGTTTTAAGTTATTGCAATGCTTGAAATTTGGGAAGTGAAAGAAAATTTCATTTGGGTGGCAGACACGGCATCGAGGGCCAATGGTCCCATTATTTCATCCCTGGTAGCTACTCCCTTGTAGGTAGGAAAATAACTTTGGAAATGGTCCCTAAATCCAACCTCTCTCAGGTTTGATTGGTGAAAAAGGTAGTCCCTTGTCTAGTCATAACCGACTGTAGGGTGCGGTGCTCATCTCCGTTACTAAGCCGAAGAGCCACTGTTGTCCAAAGACTACTATAGTGGTCATTTGGTCAGCATGACTGCACCAAACACTGTTACCTTCCCACCAAAGTGGTACCTATTTATCTACTTGCATTTGCATGCTTTCAAACTGCTAGGTTGGCAGAAGCTGGGACTAGTGACAGGAGATCCTCAGAATTGGTAGCTACTGTCTGGCTGGTTGGGGAGGCAAAATATTTTAAAAAACAACAGCTAATTTTACCATACAGTCTCAGCTTTCTCCCATTTAAAGAATACCTGCTATGGATACTGATGCCAGTCATATTATTGTTAGCTGCCCTTGAGTCAATCTCGACTCACAGTGACCCTGTAGATGTGATATCTCCAAGACCTAGCCATCTGGTGTGTTCCTCTCTTTCTGCATCCCTTTACCTTTCCTAGCATTATTGTCTCTTCTAATGAGTTATGCCTTACCATGCTGTGGCCAAAGTACAACAGCCTCAATTTGATCACCTTGGCTTCCAGCTTGATCTGATCTGCTCATCTGATTGTCTTTTTGGCTGTCCATGGTATTCTCAGCCCTCTTCTCCAGCACCACATCTCAAATGAATTGATTTTCTTTCTATCTTCTTTCTTAACTGTCCAGCTCTCACATCCATCCATAGTGATGGGGAATACAATGGCTTGGGTGATTCTAACTTTAGTGCACTATTGTATATCTTTACTCTTTAGCACCTCTCATCTCTGCCCTTCCCATTCCTAGTCTTCTTCTTATCTCTTGACTGCAATCTCTGTTCTGGTCAGTGTTTGATCCAAGGCATGGTGTAGTGCAGGGGTAGGCAACCTTTCCCCTTTAAGGGTCGAGGGACTTCAGTTCCCAGAATCCCAGGAGCTATTGGCCAACATGGGACTATTGGTCAACATGGCTGAGGCTTCTGGGAGCTGAAGTCCCTCGGCCCTTAAAGGGGAAAGGTTGCCTACCCCTGGTGTAGTGGTTTGAGTGCTGAACAAAGACTCTGGAGACCAGGGTTTGATTCCCACCTTGGCCATGAAACCCACTGGATAACCTGGTAGAGAGTCACACTCTCTCAGTCTCAGGAGAAGGCAATGGCAAGCTTCCTGTGAAGAAATCATCCCCCCCCCCAAAAAAAACCCATGATAGGTTCACCTTAGGGTCACCATAAGTTGGAAATGACTTGAAGGCACACAACAACAACAACAACAACAGGAAATATTCTTAGAATCACAGAATCATAGAGTTGGAAGAGACCACAAGGGCCATCCAGTCCAACCCCATTCTGCCATCTTTATGGTTTCCTCATTGTCTAGGTTGTAGATCCTCCATGGTCATTATTTTTGTTTTCTTTATGTTCAGTAATAAGCCTGCACTTGCCCTTTCTTCCTTGATTTTCCTTAGTAATTGTTCCAAGTCTGTGATGTTTTCTACTAGCAGTATGGTATCATCCGTGTATCTTGGAATGATGATATTCCTCCCTCCTACTTTACTCCTCCTTTTTATGAGTCTCAGCCTGCTCTTTGTATGGTATTTTCTGAAAAAGTATGGCGATAATATGCAGCCTTGCCTGACCCCTTTGCCAATTGTGAACCATTCTGTTTCTCCATATTCTGTTCTGACAGTTGTCTCTTGTCCTGAGTACAGATTTCTCATCAGGACTATCAAATGTAGTGGCACTCCCATGTCTTTAAGAGTGTTCCATAGCTTTTTGTGATCTGTTCAGTCCAAGGCTTTGCTGTAGTCTATAACATGACGCCACTCATATAAACATCCAAACCCTGTAATAATTTTAGCAAAGCTATTTCAAGCCCTATGAAGAGTGGCTTAGGGAGCTGGGTGTGTTCAGCCTGGAGAAGAGAAGGCTAAGAGGTGATATGGCAGCCACGTTTAAATATTTGAAGGGATGTCATGTTGAGGATGGAGCAAGCTTGTT